CCACAGCTTGGCAGTTCAGGTGAGTCTTGGGCCCAACGGCAGAAGAGGAACTATGACTCTCGGGATGATGGTGGGGTGAAAGGGCAGCCAGGCCCAGGTCAGCGTAGGGGTCAGTGTGGGGAAGTGTTCTCTGAGCTAGGGCACCAAAGGGAGTCAGATCAGGTCACCACAAAGCTCCTAGATCTCATGGGAAACCCCTCCCTGCACCGCTCTGAATGGTGCTGATGGAGCCCCTGCTAGGAGGCCCTGGCCCAGTCCAGCGACGACATGACCTTTACAGGGGGCTATTGCTCGACAAGGTTGAGGGCCCCACAGAGCAGGTACTGTGCTTGGCACTGAGTCAAGGAACACCCCGTGCAGCCCGAGGGAACAGCTGCCTGTGTGGGCCCAGCTGGTGGAGGCTGCCGCCCAGGCTGGGAGGCAGAGGCCGGGAGCAGCCAGCGAGAGGCCATGGCCTGCCTGGGGCACCCCCAGCCTTGATCCGTATCCAGCTTGGTCCAGGCCTCCCCCACAAGGCCTGGGCCCCGCCCTGGGACTATCTGGCAGGCTCTGGGGTAAGGTGGCCCCAGGCCTCTGCTGGACAAGCTCAGCCCTCAGCCCTGCAAAGGCTCCCTGCCCCCACTTGCCCTGGGCACCATCCGGCTACAGACCCTGTGAGCCAGCCCCTCCCATCACCCCGCCTGGGGCAGGCACATGGAGTTCTCATTGAGCCGGACACTACCCACTGTCATCACCCCAGGTCTCCTTTGAGTCAGCACTGCCTATCCTGGTTGAGGGCAGCTCCGTCCTGGACAGTGGGCCCTGAGGGCAGGGTGCCCAAGCCCAGCCTGAGAGCTCAGGAGCCCCCATGGCGTCCCTCTCAGGACCCTTCTGTGGGCACCTGGGGATGGGGGACGAGGTGTGGCAACCCCCAAGGGCAGAACTGGGCAGGGAACAAGAACCTGAGGAGTAGCGTAAGGTGGCAGAAGGCCCCACAGCACCCCTAGATCACCCGGACGCCCCTGTTTTTCTTGCGGGAGAAAAGGGCTTGGTTTCAAGTTTCTTCTTCCGCAACTTCAGCGCCTCAGCACGTGCACATGGCGGGGGATGGGGGAACCCTGTCCAAAAGGGGAATCAGTTTAGCCAGCAGCTACCAAGGCCATGTCCTTCGGCTAGGCTTCCGGGCTGTCATCATTGACAACAACGTGCTGCGGGTCCTCAGACTGAGTCTCCGGGGCTGTCAAACCTAACCACATACTGCGGATCCTTCCGCAGAGCCCCGCCCTGAGTGGTATAAATACTGAAAATGCTGCGCTCCTAACTGAAAGGGTGGAGATAGAGTCCCCCCAGGGGTGCCTCGGAATAAAGGCCTGGTTATCCACTTCCTAAAAAAAGAGTCAGCATTGAAAGCCTTATGAAACACAGCTCTCTCTGGCACTCATGGTATTACCTGACTGGGATGGATTTATGGAGGGTCCTTAGCTAGTATAGGGACCCCGGGGCTGGTGCAAACGGTGAACACCTACCTCAGCTGTAACCAAAAGGTTGGTGGTTTAAGTCTACTCAGAAGTGCCTCGGAAGAAAGGCCTGGTGATCTACTTCTGAAAAGTCAACCATCAAAAACCCTGTGAACCCGGGTGGAGACCTGGTTGGCCAGCAGTGTGGCAAGATCTGGGGACTCCTGGGCCCAGAGTCAGTGACAAAGCCACAGAGGACCAGAGTGGAGAGTGAAGCATCCAGCTGATGAGAAGAGAGGGGATATGCATAAGAACACCCACACTTGTAGATAATACCCACTTGACCTGGCTTCAATGACTAGATGATCAGAGCTCAACCAGAAGAAAGAAGAGGGAGAAAAAAAGTATTCTGATACAATTTGATGAACTTGACCTACGCCTATGGATGCAGTAGCTCAAAAGAGGGAACAAATATTTAGAGCGAGGATCATTCCCACCCTTTCAATACACAGAGTAGACAGGTATGGGCATCTTGGACATTGGCTACCCAAAATGGGGAGGGGGGGAGGCTGTAAAGGCAAGAAATGACTGACTTACAATCTTTCAATAGGGAACCTAGATCCAGAGGGCGTGAAGGAAGGTAAAATCTCCACTGAGTAGTATCAAATCTGTCTAGGCGGGGCTGGTGAAAGGAGATGTGGATAGGTCTCGTGTGATACAACAGTGAATAATTGTTATCAGGACTGATTGTGAGGGTTGGAAATGTAAAGGTAGACGTTTTGTAGCAAAAGGAGGGGAGTGATTGACTTTGCAGTCTGGGATCAGAGGTCCCTGGGACCATCAAGGGAGAAGAGCGGAGAGTGGGACCCTACCCAGAGAAGCAGTGACGCCAGAGACAGAGGCAGAGAAGATGACATGGAGAGATGGAGCAGCTGAGAACTGTAGACCCAGAGAGGGAGAGGGGCTGTGTGCTGACGACCGGGGGCAGGCTTGCAGGGTATATACCCTTTGGTTGGTTAATGATGCATGGAGGGGATTGTAACCATGGCAATGAAACGATTTACGATAGGATGAGTGTAAAGCTAATGTTATCCCATGTAAACTATCACATAATTCACAATAAAACATTTAAAAAAAAAACAAACCCTGTGGAGCAGGAGCACAGTTCTGGTCCTCTACTAGTGAGGTCACCCTGAGTTACAATCTATTCAAAGACAACTAGTTTGTTTTGCTTTGTGTTACTGGTGAGTCCTTCCACTGTGTTTCCAGAGTCTGGACTGGAGGCCCTAGACCTCCGTTGACTAGCCATGTGACTGCAGGCAAGTCCTTCCTGCACACAGCGTCTTCACCTGGAGAAGAGGGGTCGTAACTACTGACCCCAGCTGCCTCCCTGGGCTCAAACACATGGCTCCTGTTCTGTAAGCAGGGAGTCAGCTGCTCCCTGTCTCCAGCATCTCACTGCAAGCCACAGACCTCATAGCAGAAGACAGAACTGATTCCTCATAGATGGTGGCACTGCCCCCTCCCCAGGATGCTCCTGCGTCCTAGCTGTGTGACATGTGCCTGGGAGATGTGGGGAGCAGGCTCACTGTTCTAGGCTCCAAAGGCTCTTGCATCTTGGGGATGGATGGGTGATGGGCCACGGGGCCCTGCTGTTCCTTGTTGGGTCAGGTGTAGGGGGCAGGAAGCACAGAGTAGACAGCACAGAGTGTGGTGATCCAGCCACACTGAGACCAGGTATGTGCGTGCCTTGTGTTGTAGAACAGGGCCACAGGTCCTGAGGGATGCTTGATGGTGACATGGGCAGCCCTCCTGGAGACTTATCTTTCCCTTCCGTTGCCTGCACATGAAAACCATTTTCTTGGTGGTTGGGACAGCTCTGCCCTCTTTGCGATGGGGGCCATGGATCAAAGTGAGGTTCAGGGGACAGAGGGAACAATGGGGTAGTGGTTTTCTGCATGTAAAACAAGAGCCACAAGTTTAAATCCAGATGGGCAGCTGGGGCCAGAAGCAGCATCACTGGAATGCTGGCAACAGGAGAGTTGGAGGAGACGTAAACAGAGAGTCCAGGGTCTGGCGGAAGATGGGCCGCAAATGACTGGGGCTTTGGGTAGAGTGTGGCCTGAAAGTTTCTGGAAGACCACAATCAAGGTGAACCTTTCCAAGGCTCCTATGCTTTGAGGACTAAAGTGTGACTGACCCAAGCCATGGTATTTTTAATTTGTCTCATATGCATGTGATAGCTGGACAATTAACAAGACATGAGGAGAATTGATGCTTTGGCAAAAGTTCCGTGGACTTCCAGAAGAACAAACAAGTCTGTTCTAGTTTGTCTCTCATACCTTGGGCATGCTCTCAGGAGGGACCAGTCCCTCAAAAGGAGTAGCATGCTTGGTAAAGCAGAGGATCTATGAAAACTAGATGGACACAGTAGTTGCAACAATTGGCTCACACAGAGCAACTCTGAGGATGGCTCAGGACCAGGTAGGGTTTCCTTCTGCAGTGCACGGGCGTTTTATGAGAGTGCCTAATGACGAGACTCCTGTAGCTCAGTAACACATGCTCACCCCCTTCCAAGCACCGGGGGACCAGGGTCTGAGGTGGGGCCCTGACTCCAGGGCACTAGCAGCCCAACTGCCCAGGCTGTGACTCTTCTCTGTCCACCTGCCACCAACAATTGCCACATACAAGTAGTCTAGGAGGTTGTATGGGGAGCAGATGAAAGTGTCCCAGCCTTGACCCTTTGTGTCAGGCTCAACAGTGCGGCCCCCACCACACACATGCACGCACCCCCATCTCTGCGTCCTGCCTCGCGAAGGACCTGGTGCACAACCATAGCCTGAGGGCTGCCTCAGGTCCGAGAGTGGAGACCACTGCTGGACTGTCTTACATCCATCACCACACCCCCCAGAAGTGCCCCTTCACTGGGTACCCAGGGCTTAGCAGGCTGTGAGGAAGGAGTCCGGCCTCTGCAGCGGAGACAGTCCTCATCCTGGGCCCCAAGGACTCTCAGAGCTTAGGACGGTGCTTCAGAGCTGACTGGGAGCTGGGAGGGGTTGGGGGGGCAGGGCACTCTGGGTAGGACTTGGGGCACATGGCAGATCCCCCTTCTTTCCCACCAGAGAGGAGGAAGTCCAGCAGCTGGACACAGGCCACTGCTGCCAGTAGGCAGGCACTCATACCACCACCCCCACCCCCACACACAGACACACACCCATGAACCACAGCAGAGAGGAGACTCAGCAGAAACACTCAATGAGATTTATTGAAGAGAAACATGAACATGAACTGGAACTGTTGAAGGGAAATGAATCCGAACAGAAAGGGGGCTGCAACCACCCCCAGGGGTCCCTAACCAGGAGCCTCTGCCACCCTCACAGCGGGCCCTCCCTCTGCCCCAGGGCCCGCCTCCCAGGGGACAACAGATTCTGGAAACATCGGTTGGCTTCCGGGGACCTCAGCACAGTCCAGCCCCAGCCCCTGGAGCGAGCCCCTGCCCCGTGGGCCTAGGGAACAGCCACAGAAGAACACTGGAAAACACGCCGCTGGGCACTCGGCACCAAGTCAAGGAAACGGAGTCACCAACAGCAGCAGGGGTGGAGTTTCAAGCACAGTCCCTTCGTGGACCCCCTCAGCCCTCCAGGTCCATCCTTCTTCCTTCAGGCGGTAGGTAGCGCTCGGGGTGAGGGTGGTCACTCCCGTGTCCGCCGTCTTCCGGGGCTGGGCTGGGGTCTCCGGGGAGGAACGGCTCCCATGAGAAGGCACACCTCCACAGCAAGAAGCAACAGTTGGCTGCAGTCTACTTGGGACAAGCGGACGTCGAGGCCCCCACCCAGTGGACGACGACGACGAAGAGGGAAGGGGCATGGAGGCCGTGTCTCCAGGTGGCCCTGGTCTGGGTGCTCCTGGGCAAGCAGGCGTGGGGCTGGGGCTTCGTGGTGGCACTGCGTGGTGGGGCCGCGATGGGATGGGGCCCCTCAGAAGGGCTGAGAGGGAGGGGGCGGGCCCGGAGGGGGCTGGCAGGCCCTTCCCCGGGCCCCGATGCGGCCCTGGGGCCTACTGGTCTGAGGTGGACTCGAAGGACTCGGGCAGGCTCAGCTCGCCTGCCTCGCCCTCGTTCTCAGACTCCTCCAGGATGGGCTGGAGCCGCTCCTCGTCGTCGTCGTTGTGGGGCTCCGCGGCCTCCTCCGCCTCCATGGCTTCCGGTTCTCCTGCCTGGGCGAGGCCCTCGGGCCCACAGCCTGAGCCTCCCGGGCCGGACCCAGGAGCGCTGCCCACCTGGGCTAGAGCGGGAACACTTTCTGCTTTGTGAGTGGCAGGGGCGGCCTTTGCAGTGGGTTCAGTGGCATCTCCAGTGTCCTGAAGAGCCTCATTGGCCTCTTCATTGTTTAGGGCAGCTTTGGCAGCATCTTCATTGGCAGAAGCGGTCTGGGCTACGTATTCATTGGTCAGAGTGGTGAAGGTGGCATTTTCACTTCCTGGGGCCTCCTCAACAGCCTCTTCCTTGGCGAGGTCAACCTGGTCAGCACAGTCACCGCCGGGGGCAGTTCCTGCACTATCCTCACTGACTGGGTTGAGTTGGTTGACATCTTCATTGGCTGATGCCACCTCAGCAGCTTCTCCACCACTTAAGGCAGTTTCTGTGGCAAATTCATTGGCTGGGTCAGACTGGGCAGCACTTTCACCATTTATGGTCTCCTCAGCAGGATCTTCATAGGCTGGGGCAGCCTGGGCAGCATTTTCATTGATTGGGGTGACCTGCATGGTAGCCTGGGCTCCACAGGTCCCTTCCTCTGCCAGGGACTGTTCCCTCCTGGCCTGGGCAGCTTCCCATGCCTCAGTCTCCCTAACCATCCGCAGCAGCCCCACGAAGCCAGGAGGCTGCCCCACCATGCGCATCTGCCTCAGCTTGTTGTATAGCATTAGACTGGGGCGGGCCCGCATCAGCACCTGCCGTGCACGCACCTGGTCTGCAATGGCCGGGTGCACCGCCCCCTTCTCCATGGCCATCTGCAGCAGGCCTTCCTGGCGCATCACGTAGGCAAAAAGGCTCTCCCCGGGCTGTTGGGTGCAGGTGAGAAACTTGAGTCGTGCTGTCATGCGTGTGTCCTGGGTCCCAAACACCTGCACTATGGCAACAAGGCAGTCCTGTGTGGGGAGGTTGGGGTCTTCTGCGAGCAGCCCGCACAGAAGATTCAGGGCGGGGCCACTCAAGCACTCCACCAGCCTCCTCCTCTTCTCCCTCTCTGACACATGGCGCCACAGGTACATCATGTCGTAGGCGTGGTCCAGCCAGCCCTCAAAGGGCTCTTCCCCAGGGACAGGCTCTTCCCGCCCGGAAAAGGGTCTCAGTTCCTGGTAGGCCAGACTCTGCACCATGGGTTGCAGGGCGTTCCTCCATTGCTGCACCCAGACATCGGCCTCATCTTCATCTCGTGCCTCACCTAAGGCTGCTGCTACACCTAACACTCCGGCTATACGTTCATATCTTGCCTCACCTGCTGTTCCTACCCCACTTGCAGCTCCTGCCTCACCTGCAGCTTCGGCCTCACCTGCAGCTCCTGCCTCACCTGCAGCTCCTGCCTCACCTGCAGCACCTGTCTCTCCTGCAGCTTCTACCACATCCTCAACTCCTGCCTCACCTGGGGCTCCTGTGTCACCCGAAGCCCCTGCCACAGTCTTAACTCCTGTTTCACCTGGGAATCCTCCCTCACCTGGGGCTCCTGTCTCACCTGCTGCTCCTTCTTCATCTTTACCTTCTGTCCCATTCTCAGCACCTGCCTCATCTGCAGCACCTGCCTCATCTGCAGATCCGGCATCACCTTTGGCTCCGACCTCACCTTTACCTTCTGCCACATTCTCATCTCTTCTCTCACCTGCAGCTTCTGTGTCAACTGTGGCTTCAGTCTCACCTGGGGCTCCTGACTCCCCTACAGCTTCTACCACATTCTCAAGTTCTACATCACCTAGAGCTCCTGCCTCAATTGGGCCTCCTGCCTCACTTGCAGCTCCTACCTCACGTGGGCCTCCTGCTTCACCTGGGGCTCTTACCTCACCTACAGTTTCTGGCCCATCCTCAGCTCCTGCCTCATCTTCAGCTCCTGCCTCACCTGTCCTGTTGGTCACTTCTTGCCCCTGGGGCTGTTCAGGCAAAGTGGGTCTCCCCTGCAATTCAGCATCAGGGACTTGGGGCAGGTAGATCACCCTCCAGGGTCCCCCTTTGCCTGGAATCTGTCTGGGGATGAGGCTGCGGTTTAAGTAGTCAGCAAATTCAATCAAGGCGACTCTGGTCCCCAGCTCCTTCCTGAAGACTTTGCCCAGCACTCGGTACCTGCCCAGGGACCACAGGGCGGCCCGCACTGCCTCCTGGAACTCATCCTCCTCACAGTCCTCTGGGATGCCCAGGAGCAGCAGGGATCGCTGCGCGTTCACACCCATCCACCTGCACCAGTCCCGCAGCATCGCCAGCGCCATGGCCGTGGACTTGGGGGGACAACGAGATGGGAGGAACGTCGCAGTCTCCGCAGTCTGTTGAGCCAGAGAAGAAAGGGACATTGGTGCTACGCATCGCACTACACCGCCCACCCCGCCTGGATGCACTAAGGCTCCCCACCACCACCACCATTGCTGCAGCCTGTGGCCCCGCCCCCTCCCAAAACCGCAGCCCGCCATCCCCCCTCCCTCACAGGAGTCAGGAGCCCTGGGCTGCACCCGCCACCATCGCTGCAGGGAAACCTCCATTTGCCCGTACTGAGCCCCCAACAAGACCACAGCAGTTTGAGTCCTTCCCCTTCCCCCATCGCCAGCAACCCAGCAGGGGAGTCGTCCCCCCCCCCCCCCCCGACATACAATCCCCACACACAGCGCAGATCACTGCCCCCCTCATTGCAACCAGGAGCCTCCCTCAGACCCTGAAACCCGCTCTGACGCCTGCCCTGCAGGCTGGAGTCTGGGTGCCGCACCCCTCCCCTCAAGACCCGAGACTATGCCCCCTCCCCTCTCAACACCAACCTCCCTTCTCCCTGCAGCCAAGAGCCCCTCACTGCACTCCCCGTAGCGCCAGACCACAAGCCCCCTCGCTCCCCTGCACCCAATGTAGACCCGGCTGACCCTTGGCTCCATCATCCTGGGCTCCACCAGAGAAAAGCGTCGCTCACCTCCTGCGACTTTGCCTGCGCCCCTAAGACCCAGAGGAAATGCCTCCTCGGGCTCAGCGTCCCCTCAATCAAGCAGAAGGAAGATCGCGCATATGCCACGTGAGCCTGGGCTCCGGAAACACAGGTTCACCAGGCCGGTGGGTTTCCCAGAAGCCCCGCAGAGGAGGGAGACAGACCTCGAGTCTTGGTGCAGGGCGAATGGCTGCGGCAGGAGAGCACGTGAGGAGGCGTCAGTGTTGTCATGGCACCGGGACCTGCGTGGTAAGGCTTGCCAGAGCAAGGCTGGCTGCTCCAGAAGCAACAGGCACACCCACCCATTGGCCAACAGGGTGGCCTGGCACCAAAGGGGGGCGAGGGGAGGCTTAGGGGGGTACGTGGTGGGGAGGAGGAAAGTACCTTGTAGCCAGTTGAGGGGTGTGGCTACGAAAGCTATGCCTCAGGGGGTAGAACTCCCCCCCACCAGCCCCCCTCCCAAATCCAGCCTGCAGCCTGTGCAAGGGCTGGCTGCTCCCACCCAGGAATCTCATCACAGCTTCTTCCTCCCCAGAACCGGCCCTCAGCCCCTATGAGGCTGCTGCACTGGAAAGTGTGCCAGCTTTGAGTCCCTTCAAGGCAGGCTCACCTGTAAGCTAGGCTGTGGTTGTTAAGTGCAGTCAAGTCGGTTCCAACTCCGTGGTGACCCTATCTAGGGTTTCGGAGGCTTCATATCTTTGCGGGAGCAGAGAACCTCATCTTACAACCGCCAACCTTGGAGCTCACAGTCCAGTGCTTATCATATGGAATCGTCCTGCTTTGGGCACTGAACGTCTCTGCCCCTAGGCTGTAAATGGGCCGTGAGAATACATTGCTTTTTATGTAATGCTGAATTGGTTTTGCTAATCATGAGAATATTTGCAAGTCTAATCACGGAGTCCTGGGGTGGTGCGGTGGGTTAATGAGCCAGACTGTAAAGCCGTTTTACTGCAAGGTCGGTGGTTCAAGCTCACCAGCTGCTCCTTAGAAACCCTATACAGGGTTGCTATGGGTCAGAACCAACTCAATGGCACTTAACAACAACAGCCATGAAGAGTATTTTTCGGTGATTTTCTGTTTTATATAATTTCTCGGTCAGATTTTAATGCCAGTCTTATTCTGATCTCATAAAAGGAATTGGGAATTATTTCCTCCTCCTGGGTTTTCTGAAGTAAGTTTGATTGCTGTTAAGACGGTTCGGCCTCATAGCGACGCTGTACAGGGTTCCCAAGGAGGGGTTGGTGAGTGTGAACCACCGACCTTGTGGCTCAAACTGACCTTGCGGTCCAGTGCTTTATTCCCCAGCGCCAGGGCAAGACTCCAACTTACTAACAACAATCATGAGGGATATGTTTCTCCGATTTGTTTTTAACATAATTTCTTTGTCAAATTTGAATGCCAGCTTTATCCTGAGCTCATAAACGGAATTGGGAATTGTTTCCTCCTCCTGGGTTTTCTGAAGTGTTTGAGTAAGATCGATGATTTTTCGTCCTTAAATATCTGCTAGAATTCACGGATGAAATCTTCGGAGCCTGCAAGTTTTTGTTGCACTACTTTGTTTATTTTTTAGGTAAGGTTTTTGATAGTAAATATTTATCTGCAAGACATAGTGCAATTCATATCTTCTCATCTGGAAAATTGATTTCTTTCCACGCATTTGGCAATTTTATTTAAGTGGTTGAAATTATTGGCATATGTTGTTAAGTGTCATCAAGTCGTCTGGACTCATAGCAACCCTGTATAGGGTTTCTAAGGAGCAGCTGGTGGGTTTGAACTTCCGACCTTGGGGTTCACCCTCCAGTGCTGGTCCTCCAGCGTCATACCAGAAGCAGTTCATGATGTTTCTCATTATCCTTTTCATGTGCATGTGATCTCTAGTAAAACATTCTTTCTTCCATTCCTGATGCTAGAAATCATGGTTCTTTTTCTCTAGGGGTTTATCAGTTCTGTAGCTCTTTAAAAAGAACCAATTTATACTTTTGTTAATTTTCCTATAGTTTGTTATGTTTCCTATAGTTTCCTGTAGTTTGTTGTGTCATTACATAACAAACAAATTTTTTTTTATTTTAGTTTACAACCATCTTTACAGTCACACTTCTGACCTCTCCCATCTTCTGAGGATGAGAACAGTTCTCCACATTTATTGAATTCATAGATAGCATTCATCACCAGTGACTGTTATGTGAGAGGATTTTTAAGGGTTGACATGCAAATGAAACCTTTCACAGATACCTTACATTTATGGGGTTTTTTTTTTCCTCGTAAGAGTTGTCATGGGAGTGATTGTATGTCAGGGACAACTGCAGACGTCCCCACATTCCTTACACGGACAGGTATCACATCTGGTGAGTGACCTCGTAGGATGGCTATGGGATGAGTGGTCCATGAAGGCTTTTCCAGATTTGCAGCGTTTCAAAGCATTTACGTCTGTGGGTTTTCCTTGGAGCACATTAAGACCTGGTGTCAGGCTGGAGGTTTCCCCACACTGTCTGCCTTCAGAACTTTCACAGACATTCTCTAGTGTATGATTCCTCAAATGTCTGCCCTGGTTTTCATGGTGACCTTTACTGCCAGGTGATGCTGTGAATTCACTTAACATACAGGACCAGGTGTGATTCTTCGTAAATTGCACATTGATTTGTCCACTGGGTAACTTTTCTCCATTATAATGGTTTCGAGACACTACTGAATCCAGGTTTCTGAAAGTTTCCATCATCACGTCTCTGTAGAGTTTCTTCTGAGCAGGATGCAGAAATTCCCACTCTTCCTGGGTGAAAACCACAGCCACATCTTCAATGACCACTGAGTCCATTTCTTTGCTCCCCCTTCTAGAGGTCTTAGGGCACTGTCACCAAAGGTCACTTCAGAAAGAGGGTCCAGAGTGTAAGCTGAGCGCTGGGCAGTTTGGGAGCAGATGCGTAATGTCTGGTCCGCACACAGTCAGAACACCTGAAGTCCTTTCTGATGACTTATGGGTATGCAAGATGCTCACCCCAGGGCTTCCACTCAGCTGGGGACCACACTGGAGAGCTGGGAGAGTTCTGCTCCCCACTCCACATCTCAGTATTCCACAGAAGCTCTACTTGTTGCTGGGTGGGTCGCAGGAGACTAACAAGCTTTGTGTTGTTATGTAGTTCTCATCTCTATTTATTACTCCCTGTCTTTTGCTTATTTTAGATTTCTGTTGTTCAGCTTTTGTTTAGCTCTGTTAGCTGAATCCTATTTTATTTTTTCATTTCCTCACTTAATTTTCTTTTTTTTTTTTTTTTGTAACCAATAGCTCCCCATTCCTTCCTCTGCTCAGCCCCTGGTAACTCCTAATCTTTTGTCTGCATTCATGGTGTGTTTGAACCATCAACCTTTCAGTTAGCAGCTCAGCCCTCATATAATATCTGTCTGTGTCTGAGATTTCATTCAGCAGAATGGTGTTAAGCAGTTATCACAACTTCATGCCTTTGTATGGGTGAACAGTATTCCACTGTATGGCTTTACTACATTTTGTTTGCCCGTCTACTGGCGGATCCTTGGATTGTTCTCACCTTAAGCAATTATGAACATCGGTGTACATTATATCTTTGAGTCACTGCTTTCGAGTCTAGGAGTGGAATTTGCTATATCCTGAGGAGCCCTGGTGGAGTTGTAGGATAAGCACTGGACTTCTAACGGCAAGGTCAACAGTTCAAAACCAACAGTTACTCTGTGGAAGAAAGATGAGGATTTCTGCCCCCGTAAAGATTTACAGCCTCAGAAACCTTGTATAGGGTCGCTGTGAGTCAGAATCAACTCTAGTGCAGTGGGCATGATACCTCCATCTTTAACATTTTGAGGAACTGGCAGAATGTTTCCCATAGCAACGACATCAGTTTTCATTCCCACCAGCATTGGAGGCATACATACTCCAATTGCTCTACGTCACCTACAACACTTGTTATTTTCTGTTTTGTCATTTTTTCCCCCACACCTATTGGGTGTGGGGTGGTATCTCGTTGTGATATTTATTTGCACGCTGTAGGATAAGCACTGGACTACTAACCACAAGGTCAGTAGTTCAAACCCACCAGTCACTCCATGGGAGAAAGATGAGGTTTTCTGCTCTCAATAAAGATTTACAGCCTCGGAAAACTTATATAGGGTCCCTATAAGTTGGAAAGGACTTGAAGGTACCTAACAATAAAAACAAAGACGAATGAGATTGAGTATCTTTTCATTTGCTTGCTGGTCCTTTGTATATATCTTCTCTGATGAAGTGTCTATTCAAGTCCTTTGCACATTTCCCCCCTTGTGGCAATTCAACAATTTCAATAT